AAAATCATCCAGCTCCAAATGCCAATAGTGCTGAGGCTGAAAAGTCCTGGATAAAATTCAGCATAGGGTATGAAAAAGATTTGGCCAAAGAAACTGAGCTTACACTAAGAAAACTGAGCATAGCAAGACTAAATGCACTGGGATAGAGCTCCGCAGAGACATAAAAAGCCCCTGTAGCTGTTTCCCCAGGTAATCCAGGCAGCTTAGAACAAGTGGATGGAGGGGAAGGAGGTATTTTGAATCTGGGTCATTCTCACTCAGAACGGTCTTTTGAGGATGGGACAGTTTTGTCAAGATGGTTCCCCACAGCTAGCAATGCTCAGGCCCTTCCCAAAGGTAGGGAATCAAAACTCTGCCAGGGCAGATGATTCCCTGGTAGCAGGGAAGCTGCTACCAGGACCCAGTATCCCAACTCTCAGGCTGTGCCAGCCCTACCTGGCAGGAGGGTTCTTGTTCATGAACATCTCCATGGCACGCTCATCCTCAGGGTCCACAATCACCTCTGCATGGTGGCCTGCCCCTGTCATTGTTGCAGCCTTCTCCAGAGTGGGCCATTCCTCGTCCTCATCATCTGATCCATCCTGCGGCACTCCTGGACCTAGAAGGGGGGAGATGAAATGGATGATCAAGGCAAGCAGTGGCTGAGGGATTTAGAGGTCAATTACCTTTAACCATCATGTATAGTACAGGCCTCACAACTGCTCGTAATATATACAGATGTATGCAGGGAAAGAGATGATGCACATGCTATCTCCCCATCCCCAGGGGCTTACAATTCTGCTTGAGAAACAAAATGTACATGTATGAACCAATGAGATAGATAAACCAATAAATAGAACCAATAAATAACAGTTAACACTCTATATTCAGTATACAGCAGGAACTGTTCTAAACATTGTACATAACCCACATAACCCCAAGAAGTAGGTACTATTATTATACCTAGTTTCAGATGGGGATGCTGAAGTATAGAAAAGTTAAGTAATATGCCTAAGACGTGCAGTCTGGGTCCAGACTGTACATTCCTCATATTCATTGTACACACCTGGTAGGGCCTGATTTTATGCCAAAATGAGTGGTAGAGACAGTATATACCACAGGCACTTATGTGATGAGGACAGAGGATGGTTAGCCTCTGGATAGGCAGTAAAGGAGCTGGAGGAGTGTGTTCCACATCTGGATAACACTGGCAAAAGTGCTTGGTTACAAGAGCATTAGGCAGTAGCAAGAAATAAGGCTAGATGGGTAAAGTGAAGCCAGTCTGTCGAGGGCCTTGAGGCCAGGCAGTGGAGTTCACATTTCAAGGGACCAACCATTGGAATAACTGATTATTGGAAGGCTACAGTAGGCTGTGCATCTGGAAAGGTCTGTGATAATCCAAGCAGGGAGAAGAAATGCTACATATGAACAGCTCATTAAGAACAGAGGCAGTGTGGGGCTGACCCTCTGGCTGAGTGGTTAAATCTGTGCGCTCTACTTCAGCGGCCCAGGGTTTCGCCGGTTTGGATGCTGGGACCATACCTAGCACTGCTCATCAGGCCATGCTGAGGCAGCGTCCCACACAGCAGAACCAGAAGGACCTATAACTAGAATGTACAACTATGTACTGGGGGCCTTTGGGGAGAATAAGAAGAAAAAAGAAGATTGGCAACAGATGTTAGCTCAGGTGCCAATCTCAAAAAAAAAAAAATTAAAAATAAAAAAAACATGCCACAACTAGAAGGATCTGCAACTAAGATATACAACTATGTGCTGGGGGGATTTGGGGAGATAAAGCAGGAAAATAAATAAATTAAATAAATAAATAAATAAATAAAAAGAACAGAGGCAGTGTGTGATAAAACCTAAATGGGGGGGGGGGGGTGGTGCCAGAGGTATTGTCTCCACATACTAACAACTCCCAAATCTGTACTTGTCGGTGGATCTCCCTTTGCTCCACCCCTAACTCCAGCTGCCTCCTGTACAGCCAGTTGATGACCCAGAGGCACTTCGAACCTCACCCATCATCAACTGAACTCACTCTGTTTCCCTCCTAGGTCTACACTACTCACTGTGTTCCACATCTAAGTAAATGGCACCACCATCCGCCCAATGCTAAGCCAGAACATGGGAGGCAGGCCTGCCTCATCCCCTGCTCTCACTGCCAACACTCAATTACCAAGTCCTATTCAATTCTACTTCACAGAAGGTCTCCCAAATCCTTCACAGCTCTGTCTAAGCCTAGAGCAGCAGCATCTTTTGCCTGGATTAATTCAACAATCCCCTACCCAGTCTCCTTATTCTCCAAGTGTTTCCCATTGTCTTTAGGATGACTTTCAAACCTGAGCACAGCCTCCAAGCCTTTTGTAGATTTGGCTCCTACCTACCTCACCATCATTCATTAATCCATTAATTCAGCAAACACTGCGTGCCCTGCTGTATGTGAGGCACTGTTCTGGGTGCTGAAACTATATCTGCGAATAAGAGAAACTAAAGTGTTTGCCCTTATAGAGCTTACATTCTAATGGGGGAGAGAGATGAACAAATACACATAATATATATTAGGTTAAAAGATGACAAATGCTATGAAAAAAGAAATAGGGCAGAGTAGAGAAGTTTGGAAGTGTGGAGACAGGGGTGGGGTGTTGCAATTTTTAATGGAGTGGTCAGGGTAGGTGAAGAACTGAGGGAGTAAGCCTACAGGTGTATGAGGACACAAGGAAGCACCCGGGCAAAGGCTTTAACCTGCCATGTTTCAGAAACAATGAAGCCTATATGGGTGGAGTGAAGAGAACAATGGGGGCAGATCACACAGGTCTTTGCAGACCACTGCAATCTTCTAGCCGTTGAGTTGAGAGTGGACTATAGGGGGTATGGGATACTAGTTAGGGGGCTACTGCAATCCTGCAGGTGAGAGACTGTGGTGGCTTGAACAGGATGGTGTTCCAAGGTGGTGAGAAGTGATCTGGTTCTGGATATATTTTGAAGGTAGAGTCAACAGGATTCCCTAACAGATCAGATGGGGACTGAGAAAGAGAAGAGCCCAGGGTTTTGTCTTGAGCAGATGGAAGGATATCACTCGATTAACCGAGCTGAGGAAGACAGTGGGAGGAGCAGGTTTGGTGAGAAGGTCAGGACTGCTGTTTTGGACACGTTAAATTTGAGACATCGATTAGACTTCAAACTGGAAATGCCAAATAGACAGCTGAAATATAAGAATCTGGGTTTCATGGAAGAGACCAGGGCTAGAATATAAGTCACCAAACAGATGGTATTTAAACCATGAAAGTGAGGACAGCACTAGAGAGGTGAAGAGAAGAGGTCCAAGGACTGAACTCTGTGGCACGTTAATGTTAAGAGGTTGGGGTCAAAAGAGGAGCTAGAAAAGAATAATGAGAGGTGAGGAAGTAGTAAAATAGGAATGTATTGTCTTAGAAGCCAACAAAGATACTGTAGGCAGGTGGCCAGTGTTGTGTCAAATGCTGCTCTTGGGACAAATGAAAGACGAGATCTGAGAAATGGATCAAGCAACTTGGAGTCAACACTCTCACCCTAATAAGAAAATATTGGCCATCTTCTAATTAATCTCTCTCCCTCTTTAGCCTCTACACAATATTGTTCTTTCCGCTCAGAACATTCTGCACTGGTTTTCAGGTCTCAGCACAAAGGTCATGCAATCTGAGAAGCCTGACCCCCAAGACTAATGCTATTGTTATCTGAGAAACTATACTTTAACATGGAATGTACTGTCTATTTAATTGTTTCTCTCAAACAGACTGGGCTAGACTTTAAGATCTTGAAGTCAGGCACATGTTTATCTTGTTTACTTCTTTACCCAAACCATTTAAGCTAGCACCATGCGAAACACGTAGTAAACATTCCATTAGTATTTAGAGAACAAATGAATAAATGCTAGGACAACTTAGTGGCGTGAGCAATCACTTCCTGTTGGCGTAACTTCGGGGGTGCCTACAAGCGAGTGCCTAAAACTATAAGTGGGCGTGGAGGATTCTGACCACCCTCAATTTGCTCCAGGGTTGGGTCTCCCATCCCATTACCTTTGCAATGATGTAATACGGACCCCGTCTTTTGTTTTTAAATTTCAAGGTATTCCCCTGGCAAACACTTTTTAGCATTCCATCCCCCCACTAACCACGCTGTTCCTCGCAGCCACCCCTCACCACTCACCCAGCCGCGTGGTGCGCTCCCGCGGCGCTGAGGGCCGGTCCCCCGTCCCATGCTCGGCCTCGAGCTCCTCCTGCTGCTGCCGCGCTTGCTGCAAAATCCGTCGGGTCAGCCGGGGCCCCACATACTCTTCCTCCTCTTCTCTGGTTCCGCGGCCCCGCCGCTTTTCCCGGGCCCCTGTTCGCACGGCGTCCCCAGCCAGGATCTGCTCGGCCAGGGGCGCATGTTTTTCCTGACCCCCGGCCCCGCGGGCCGCCTTGAATTTGGGCATTATTGTCGAAAACCTTGCCGGGAACGTTCACACGTGGGAACAGAGGAAAAAGCCCTGAGTGCGCTTGCGCAGTGAACTCCCAGGGCCCATGAGGCCGCACGGAGATCACAGCGTCCCCTAGCGTTCGGAGGCCAGGAGTGCCTGGACTCCTGAATAAACTCATTGCCTTTAACCTTGCCGTCTCTAAATGGTGGCAGTCCGAGCCACGCTTTCCTAGCTTCATGGGTCTAGGTCCAGGGTGCCCAGCCAAATGGGAATCTCACGAGGTGCAAGCCTGGGGGCTGCAGTCGGGCAGTGACGTCACGAAAGGCGTCAACGAGGAGGTGCCTAGACACGCCCCTGTTCCTCATTGGCGCGCCAACTGGGCGCTCTGTCTTTGCGTCATTTCCGGAGCACCTCCCTCCGCCGGAGCTCGCGTTAGGGGGCTTCGGTTAGCGTGGGCCGCCAAGGAGCGCTGCGTTTCGGCTGTGTAATCCTGCCCGCGTCCCGGCCCGACGCCATGGGAGTGACTTGGTAGGACTGCTGGGGATTGTGTGGGGCGGGGTTTGGGGTCGTGAAGGGCCCTCGGAGCCTAGAGTGTACCCCGGAGGAGGATCGAGACCTGGGTCCGCCGTCCCCCAGGAGCTGAGCAAGATGTCCTCGGATTTTGTGGGTGAGGGGCGCACCGTGAGGGCTACGGATTCTTGAGGCCTGTTTCCTCGGAGATGCGCCCCTTCCTCCTGGAAGGCGGCAGGTAAAAGGTTTTATCCCAGGAACCCGTCAATGGTTGTGTACCTCCTTCCCTTTTTCTTGCTCCATCTTCCTTCCCGTGAGGCCATAGTACTGCCCAGGGTGGAACTTTAGGGTCGGAAATAGGATGTCTGAATTCGGACCCATCTGCAGGCAGGGCTGGAGGAGTTGGGGGATAGGCAAGGAGGAGGCAGTATCTTTTTTAGATTTTCGCCTGCCCCTACCTAAAGCCACTAAATGCAGTTAGACCAGCCTGTGGCTAGTTCTGGATTGGCCATTTTAAGATCCTCGGCGTGGAGAAAAAAATAAACTATTGGGAATTAGGAGACTGAGGTTCCAGGCGCCTCATCTCTTCGGGACCGTTTCCTACTATGTTTAATTACATGGTTGGTCTAGTTTCTATGGACTTATCGCTGACATGTTTTAAGTCTGGGTGACAGGGGAGAGGTATGGGCCTGATGCTCTTGGAATCATTAGTTCCAAAATGCTAGATTTCAGGGCTTTTTTTTTTTTTTTTATCGTGAAGTGTGATTGTCTTTCCAGCCAGAGAGGGCTGGAGGCCAGGATATCTGAAGGCAGTGGCCATAGGCTTGTCTATAAGAACCTGTGGGCACTACTACTCCTGGTGGCCCAGGTTCATGAGGTTTGTCAGTGATTGCACCTTTGATTCCTACAGTTGACATAATGAGCCTCCTCTGAGTCCTCTTGTATAAGGGCATGTATGAGGGATGGGAATGCAAAGTTTGCAGCAAGAGTCATGGAACCCTGGAGGCCCCTGCTCTTGCAATAGAGAAGACAGACAGAGGGAAAGACTCTGTCTCTTGGGACCTTTATCAACTTTTTCAGACTCCTAGGATTTCTGACCCCAGTAGCATCAGTTTAGGGATTCTGATATTTCAAAATAAGGCACATCATCATCATTGCTTATCAGTGCTTTTCCTGATGGAGAGTAGTGACAATCATTAGCAACATCAGGACTCCACTTTTATAGCTTTGTTTAGTTGACTGATCCTAAAGTAATGAAGTGTCCCCCAACTTTGTCACATGTGACCGTCTTTATGATTTTTGCATAGCCAGGTACCACCTGTACTATTATTTGTTAATGTTTTCTTTTAAATCTATTTATTTTCCTTTAAAGTATTTAACAGGCAACTATATCCCTTGGGAGGCAGTCTTGTATAGTGGTTAAGAGCATAGACATGGAGCCAGCTTGCCTGGCTTTGAATCTTGGCTACACCACACCAAGCTGAGTGACCTTATGCAAGTTATTCAGTTTCCTCATTGGTAACAAGGAGATAAATAACAGCACATCTTATAGGGCTGTTGTGAGGATTTGAAGAGTTAATTCATCTGAAGGCCTTTGGACACTGCCTGGCGCGTAGTTGGCGCTTGGTGATTGTTACGTACCCCTCTAAAGGGGAAGCCAGTTTTAGTCACCATAGAAGGAAATCTTGGAAATAACATTTTTTGTTTCATTGTTTTCATTAAATTCTTGTACATACTATTGCCTCTCATCCCCAAAGATTATAAACTTGAGGCTTGCTTTCTCTTTGATCCTAGAGCTATGGAATAGAACTTTCTGCATTGATGGAAGTGTTCTATATTAGCAGTGTCCAGTACCCTAGCCCCCAGCCACTGTTGAGCTCTTGAGCCCTTGAAATGTGGGTGCACCTGAGGAGTTGAAATTTTAACTTAATTTGTTGTAGTAGTTTAAGTGTAAATAGCCACATGTGGCTTGTGGCTACTGTACTGGACAGCATACATTCAAAGTGTTAGAGAGTTGGTAAAAGTATACTAATCCCAAATTGAGGCTTTTTCCTTGATATAGTCAGAACTGAAAGAACCGCAAAGCTTATTATACAACGTGGTGTTATCAAATGCTTGGTCCGTGTGCCACCTAAAATCTTCTCACACTCAGGAAGTGCTGGTATGACAGATAGGAAGTTCACTGCACGGCTCTGAGAGTCGTGACACGTGTGCTCTAGTTCTTAATGGTGTTCTCAGGGATGGTGGTATTTCCTCCCCTTTAAAATGAAGGGGTCAGGGTCAGTGGTCTGGAAGGTAACTCCTGGCCCTGATGAGCTGTGATTCTGTGGGTGAGTGGCTCAGCAAGTGCACGTGTGTCTCTGCATACTGATATTTGGTCCTCTCCCTTCCAGTGTGTCCCAGATGCCTGTGGCTGAGGGCAAGAGTGTCCAGCAGACCGTGGAGCTCCTCACCCGGAAATTGGAGATGCTTGGGGCAGAGAAGCAAGGAACGTTTTGTGTAGACTGTGAGACCTACCACACAGCTTCCTCTACCCTTGGCAGTCAAGGTCAGTGTGCGGGATCTGCGGGATGGGTGGAACCTGGCTTGGAATTGATCGACGTTCATGTTCATTGAAATCTTTCTGTTCTTCTGCTAAGAGTGGTATTCTTGAACATGTGGCACATGTGTTTCTGAATTCATTAATTCTTGGTCCTTCATCTTTTAGACTGGGCCTAGGTTTTAGTCTTTTTACACTTTACATTCTTAGAGCAGTGTTTCTTGGAGGGTTGGTCACTGACTGACTAAATCATTTGCGTTACTTGTTAAAGGTGCAGATTCCTGGCTCTGCTTACCAACTGGTACTGCAGGCCTCATAATCTACATTTGAACAAGTTCCCCAGATGATCTTTATACACTCTAAAGTTTGAGAAAGACTCCTTTTAGTCTCAGAAGTCTCTGTATATGATTCTTTTAGAGCTTTAGAGTTTTTGGAACTTCCTGCAGAAAGCCTTCCTGTTGCCCACACCTAGCCAGTGCCCTTGGCCAGCTTATTACCATAACATTGACCACTGAATCCACGTTTGTTTTAAATGTATTGAGATGTGAGATGGGCTGTGGATGGTGGTGGTGGTAGGGAGGCAAAGAGGATCTTTGAATATGACTTAAGGAACCTGAGTTCTCTTAGTCTTGGCTCTGCAGTAACTTGACTTTAGATGGTTCTATACCACAGTGATTAAGAGCCTAGGTCACGGAACCAGGTAACTAAGTACTGGCTCTACCGCGTGCTAACTGCAACTTTAGGTAAGTCCCACAGCCTGTGACTGTTGCTGTGTCAGTCATTTGCCTATTTTCCCATAGATCTGTTCCCTGCACTTGGCCTGCACACTATATCTGCCAGGCCCCCTTTCAGTTACCTTTGGTCAGTGGGAGGCACTGGGGAAGATTAGAAGACGGGAGAAAGGGAGGCCACAGTATGTCTCTCCCTCTCCCTCTGCTTTGGGCAGTGGCTTGGCTCCTTGCCTCCAGCTCCTGCTAGGCAGCCTTTGTTCCTGGGTCTTGTAACATCACATCTTCTCCTTTTCCTTTCAGCCTTAGCGATGGTAGTGGCTCCCTGTGTTGCTAATCTTTGGGTGGCCTCACTATTCTGTTTGTTTTTCAGTTCTTCCAACCCCTGTGTTTTGCTCCCTGTATTAAATCCCCTCTAACGAAGCTATCTGGTGTGGACTCTGTTTTTGTACCCTTCCTTAATACAGTTCGCTCATCTGTAAAGTGAAGATAGTTATAGTACTTACTTCCTAGTGTTTTTGTGCTAATTAAGTAAGTTAATACATGCAGAGCACTTAGAGCTGAGATTGTCATGTAATAAGTATTTAATAAATGGTAGGTCGGAGCTGTACTGAGTTTCATCATTGATAAAATTGCAGTGTTACCATTTATTTTGCCTTCCATAAGAAGGAAGGAAGAAACACAAGAGGTAAGTTGTGAAAGCATTTGGAAAACAAGACGTTTGTATGTAGATATAAGATGGCATACTACTTCTGTGAAACTACCTGTGTGAGCTGTTTTCCTGATCAGACCTTTACTTTCAAGGAGCTATCGTTTAGCTGGGGAGACACCACATCAGTGGCAGCCAACGGAAAGAGTGATGAGCTTAAGGTCAGAGGCTTGGCTTGGAGTTCCAGTTCTGTGTGTTTACTGCCTCTGTGCCTTTAGATCAGAAGTTCTCACAGTTGACTAGCATGAGCATCACAGGAGGGCTTGTTAACACACAGGTTGCTGGGCCCCATGCTAGGAGTTTCTGATTCACAAGGTTGGGGCTGAGGCGGGGAATTTGCGTTTCTGACAAGTTTACAGGTGCTGCTGCTGCTGCTGCTGCTGGCCTGGACCCGCCAGCTTCATTTTCCTCATCTGTAAAAGGGGAACAGTAACACTAGTTCTGCTTCCTTCACAGATTGGGGCAGATGTGAAAGTACTTTGTTATGATTAAAAAAATAGTATTGTTTACAAACAACTGGAAGTGCCATCTTCATTAAAAACAAAAGCTTACGGAGCCGGGCCGATGGCACAGTGGTCAAGTTAGCATGTTCTGCTTCTGTGGCCCAGGGTTTGCTGGTTTGGATCCCGGGTGCGGACATGGCAACACTTGGCAAGCCAAGCATACATATAAAGTAGAGGAAGATGAGCACAGATGTTAGCTCACGGCCTGTCTTCCTCAGCAAAAAGAGGAAGATTGGCAGCAGATGTTAGCTCAGGGCTAATCTTCCTCAAAACATAAATAAAGAAATAAACAAACCCAAAACCTTAGGTGACTTTCAAAATATTTTCAAGATAATAACAACACCTGCAGACTCATAGTATGGATTAAATATGTAACTACAGCAAATTTGCACAGGAACAGAATGGCAGATCAGCTTTGATGTCCTTTTTCTTTTTGAGGGTTGAAATGTTTTGAACTAGATTTAGAAAGAGGTAAAAGTTGTGACTTGGCAGCAAGCAGTCGGGCAGGATGGGGGGAGGTTTGTGCGGAGCCTGTTGTGATCAGGAAGTGGTGCAGAGCAGAGGTATGTATAGAGGAGTCACAGTGCCCCCTGCCCAGCCCCACCTGTCTCCTCACTCTGCATTGCTACCTTCTTATTCCTGCCTAGACTGTCTTCTTTCCTTCTCTGTGTGGCTGAATCCTTCATTATCCTAGTTTAGGTCCTATTTTTTCCATGAAAGTGTTTTCTGCTGACTCTTGTCCACTTTGATCTCTTCCTAACATGAAGTCTTCCTTCCTTCCGAAAGACTTCTGGTCTATCCCACATAATCACTTTTGTTTTATTTTGTCTTTTATTTATTTCTTCCTTTTTCTTTTTTTGGTGAGGAAGATTGACCTTGAGCTAACATCTGTTGCCAGTCTTCCTCTTTTTTTTTTTTTTTTTTGACTTGAGGAAGATTATCCCTGAGCTAACATCTGTGCCAGTCTTCCTCCATTTTGTATGTGGGATGCCTCCACAGCATGGCTGATGAGTGGAGTAGGTCCGCGCGGGAATGTGAACCCACAAATCCACGCCACCAAAGCAAAAGATGCAGAACTTTAACCACTTGGCCATGGGACTGGCCCCAACCAATCCTCTCTTTTTGCTTGAGGAAGATTGTCCCTGAGCTAACATCTGTGCAGTCTTCCTATATTTTGTATGTGGGACACCACCATAACATGGCTTGATGAGCAGTGTGTAGGTTCACACCCGGGATCCAAACCCATGAACCCCGGGCTGCCAAAGTAGAGGGTGCTAACTTAACCACTGTGCCACCAGGCTGGCCCCTTATTTTGTCTTTTTAAAAGTTTTTTGCCTCTTTCTCTGTTGAGTGTCAGCTTTTTGAGGCCAGGGGCTAAATCCTCTACTTGTATGCCCCTTGAACCCTAGCACAGAGCTAGAAAGAGTTTAAGTAGTTAATAAATGTTTGCGATTATGGCAGTCTATCCATTAACTCTTGTAATGTTTGAGAGAAGAATCTTGCTTTCCATTTTTTGCCTTCTTCCATTTCCCACTTAACCAAATATATGTAGCTTTCCTTCCCTCTTACAGAAAACCTGTGGTAATTAATGAGAAAACTCATTTCTCAGAGAGTGGAAGGGGTGAGCTGGGGCTTCAGACTGGATCTTCTGATTCCAGATCCTGAGTTCTTTCTGCCAAAGTTGTGCTGCTTGCTTCCTAAGTTGGCTGGCATCTTAAAACTCTCCAAGGGCTCACTGTTGCCTTCAGGAAGAAGTCCAAACTTCTTGAGGCCTGGAAGGCAAGACTTCTCCCAGCCTGGTTCTGGCCTACCCTTCCAGCCTTATGCCAGATACTCCCCTTTGCTGCTTCTCTGGGGCCACTTCCTGTATCACAGAGTGGGGACGCCAGGGAAGGTAGGGATGGACAGAAGAACAGAGCATCTGCTTCATTTGTCATACTCAAATACTGGTACTTTTATTTTATTTTCCTTGTTATGTAATACATGATTATACAAAAGACTGTATATAAAGTCTCTGTGAGTTATTGATCATCATCATTAAGCATCCATCTGTGAGCCTGTCGCTCAACTTAAGAATTAAACCATTATTAGTCTCATCGAGGTTCCCTGTGGGCCTCTCACCCTTTTCTGTGGAGCGGGTGGGTTTTGCCATCTGCTGTCCTGCCTGCTGTTCCTCTCCCTTCATCTCTGGAAAAGGCTGTCAGTGAGGGGATTCCCCCTACCCCCCTCCAAGACTGCCCAGTTAATGCCAGATTGCCATCTGGCCTCGTGTGCATTTGACTCTATTCTGGGGTTTGCCGACGAAGGTCTTCATGCTGAGTAGGCTCTCCATCCCTGCAGGTCAGGCCGGGAAGCTGATGTATGTGATGCACAACTCAGAGTATCCTTTGAGCTGCTTCGCCCTCTTTGAGAATGGCCCATGCCTTATTGCCGACACCAACTTTGATGTGCTCATGGTGAAGCTCAAGGGCTTTTTCCAGAGTGCCAAGGCCAGCAAGATTGAGACCCGGGGCACCCGTTACCAGTACTGTGACTTCCTAGTGAAGGTGGGCACGGTCACAATGGGACCCAGTGCCCGAGGCATCTCTGTGGAGGTAAGACCTTGGTGACATTGGAGCGGGATGTGCTGAAGGGCATTCTCAGGCAAGGGCTCTGCCGATTTCCACATGCCTCTGAATGCAAGCTGATGTTCTTGCCTCCCCAATCCCTGTCTCCAGAGCATCTGTGTTCCCTCTCTGTGCATCTTTTACCCTTTCCATAGTCATCCAGGGACCCTGTAGCCTAGGATGGGAATGGGAAGCTGGGTTCACAGCAGAAAGCAGAAAGCAAGCTTAGGAAGGCTGGCTCGCTGGAGAAGGGAATGGATAGTCAAGGGAGGCAGGTGAATTATGATGTGGAGGGACCACTTGCCCATCACAAGAAGTCCTAGAGCAGAACAGGGCAACTTTCAGTGCAGTGAACATTGGGAGGTGGGCCCTAAATCACATGTCCACACACCTCTCCTTAGTACACTTCAAGATAGGTCTCAAAAGTTGTGTAGCAAAGATGTGCCTTTCCTTTTGATACGCTGTCTCCTTTCTTTCATGGTGGAAAGGGGTGTGTGATGGCTTCATCTTTGAGGCTAGATGTATATATTGAAAATGGCAAAGAAAGAATGTGGCAGTAGCTGGCTTTGGGTCCAGTCCGCAGTCTACCATGTGCCCAGCACTGTGAGATAAAAAACTAACTAAGCTACCTGTAGCTACCCGCCTTTTGAAAATTTATGATTTAGTAAGAGAGCAAGGCTGAAACACACAAACTGTTTTTGAAGTTAGTCTGTGAGAAATGCCATGAAAGAGGTAGAGATTGCTCTGGGAATTCAGGCCAGTGAAAGCCCTGCTGACTTTGGGGACTGTGAGGCTCCTGCATGAGTAGCATCTAAGGGGAGACTTAGCACAAGACCTGGAGATCGGTGAGTTGTAAGAAGCATCCCAGGCAGAGAAAAGGGCATTAGTGGTAGTTACTGCTCTGAAACTCCAGGGGCCCCTGGGGCCAAGGTGTCCTGACCCTTTCACATATCTAACTCTGCAGTACAGACACGCCCCGGCTGTTTCTTTACTTCTTTCTCCGTATGGTTACCAACAATTTCCCCCTGCCATCTCTCCAGTGAAAAATTAGGAGAGAGGAATGAAAAAACCTAAGATGTCTACCTTTTGGCCCATGCCGCATTGGTTGGGAAATTATTTCTTAGGGTCAGAGCTCAGGCTGGGTTTACCTTGGGAGTAATCTTTGATCTTGAAGAGATTTAGCAGCATGTGTGTCTAGACTGCCCTCTACTGATCCCCCAACACACACACACGCACCTAATTTCTTTTACTCTTCATTTTCTTTCTCAGAATTTTCCTGAGCTCTCCTTCAATCTTCACCCAGCATGGTAGAGACCATACAGTTCTGAGATAATCAGAAGGGGCCTGGATCTGCCTCTGGGTCTTGTGGGCAGGGCTGTGGGTTGAAACTCCAAGATGAGCACGTCAGAGATGCCGAAAGGGAATGATGCTGAATGTGTCTGATCCTTGGTGTTTGGTTGAGTATTTCCTGTGGAAATACTGTGCTAGAAGGTGTGTGTCTTTGGCTCAGGGTTGGGGAAGATGGGACCAGGGGGCAAGAGGCGCACTTGAAGCAGAAGACCTCATCCTTGCCCTCACTCACCCTCATTCTCTCTTCTTTTGGTCCCCAGGTGGAATATGGCCCCTGTGTGGTACCTAGCGACTGCTGGAGCCTGTTGCTTGAGTTCCTACAGAGTTTTCTAGGCAGCCACACACCAGGGGCTCCCGCAGTATTTGGGAACAGACACGATGCGGTCTACGGCCCAGCAGATACCGTGGTCCAGTACATGGAACTCTTCAACAAGATCCGCAAGCAGCAGCAGGTGCCGGTGGCTGGGATTCGTTAGTGACTGGCCTCTGTCTGGCTGTGTTCTGTCACCAGGGGGACTCCACAGGAGGAGCAGGTGCTGCACCCTCAGGCCCCTGGACCCCAGAAACCCAGGGCAGACAAGGAGGCTTCTCTCACTCTCCGGTTCCCGGCTGTGGCTTTTGCTCTGGGGCTCTGGACTCCCCTTCCCTGACCCTCACACAGTCCTCCAACAGCTGTTTTACCCCATGCCTTATTGAAGGTGGCCTGTCCTCAAGAATGGTAATTATGACGAGTGCGGAAGATTGGAGCTTTCCTGCTTTAGGGGAAAAGGTAGGACAGGGGTGTCTCTGCCTAGTGTCACTGGGGAAGGCAGTCTGTACTTCCAACTGTGGAGGATTGGCTAGGCCTACCACAGAAAGGCTGCGTTTTGTGTCTGCCTGTGCTGTAATATAGGCTGGCCTCTCCTAGGAAGGAGTAGGAGGCACAGCTTCTTTGATGGTTGCCATTTTTTTGACCTGTTTGCTGCAGTGGGTTGTGAATTGACTTTTCTAGGGTGTTGCCCGAGTCCTTTGAAGTCTCCCTTGACATCTTTCCATTTTGTTGTGAATTATATTAGACCATAGGCTAAGCTGCTATAACAAAGAGAATCTAAAGTACAGTGGCTCTTAGTAGAAGTTTATCCTTCTGTCTCCTAATAGTACAGAGGTAATCTGTATCGTTTGTAGTAAGTACAGATGGTCCAGGACAGCCTTCAGTCTACAAGGTCATCAGGAACTCGGGCTGTCTTGTTGTTCAGCCATCCCTAGGGTGTTGTCCTCGCCCGCAAGGTCAAAGCAGACTCATCAGTTCCATGTCCACATTCCACTGGGGCAAGAGAGAGAGAAAAAGCAGTTTCTTTTTTAAAGAATATGATGTGGAGTTGCTCAAATCGCTGTGGCCATGCTTTGCCGAAAGGGACGCTGGGACATAGAGCCTTTTATTTGGGTGGTCATGTTCCAAGTTAAAACTCGGGGTTCTGTGACTAAAAGATGAAGGAGAAAATGGATATGGGGGCCAAGTTAGTGGCCGCTCCTACGTGGAGGTCAGTGGACATGCCCAGAAATGCCCTTGGCTGTGGTTTTGCCCAGAGTACCCCCTCTACCTAAGCCATTTGTTTATGAATTGGATTGAGATGGGGCTGATGCCAGAGCCACTTTCAGTTTCGTTGGATTAGTCACACTAGGAAGTCAGCTCTGCACCCCTTGCCTGAGTCACAGCATCAAGGCCCCTCCAGTTCTCATGCACCCAGAGCTTAGGGTTAGAGCAGTTGACCTGATACTTATACTGTGCTTCATGGTTTCCTGAGCTCTTGCTCCTCGTCTCATTTGAGCCTCCAAGTGCTCATTTGACCTGCATTGCCTGCCTACCCCACTCCTGCTGTGGAAATGTCCAGTCAGGCTAACATTGAGATATTCAGGCAGAGATGGTCTTAGGAAACGTGTTAATGTACGTATTACATTACGTACATTAGGATAATGTCACTCATCGAAGCCATCTAGAGAGAAATTGTTTTCAGATCTAAAGCCTCTGCAAGAATCAGGTAGTGGTCTTGTTTCCATTCTATCTTTGGCTGGCAGGAAACTCAGTTCAGCTTTATAACTGCAGGACCTGTCCTCTGCATTGGTTTTTTTGTTTGTTTCTTTGTTTTGTTTTTGCTTTTTTTAAATTGAGGTCTGTTTTAGATTTCATTTACATACAATAAAATGCACAGGTTTTATGTTGTTGGCCGTCTGATTTATATTTGCTCTTGTCCAGGTTTATCTGTGTATTTTTCTGTAGGCTCCCTCAAATCTTTTATGAAATAGGACAGCATATAGGCAGGATTTTGAACATAATATGTTCCTGAAAATATAGAAATTGAGTGTGGTAAATATGACTCTAGACCTAGACATGGTAAGGAGAGATTTTGTTCCCTAAAAACTAAAAAAATAGTATAAACAGGATCCCTAACTCTACTTTGCCTTTTAGACACAGGCTTGGCTCACACATTTCCAATGTTCTTCACTTTTGTTCTTTTCTCGTATTTTGAGCACATAGTTGGCCAGCATTCAGTCCAGTGAACATCAGATCAAACTTTTAAGTACCCACTTTGGGTACCTTTGTCCATCTTTGTCCTTTTTGTCAATTAAAGGAAGTTTGTCACTAAAAAAGGTGGGTAGCAATGTTGCCAAAACTGAACTGCTCACTAGCAGGAAGGACTCAGATGTCATGTAGCTTGTGTGTGCAGGTCTGAATGGGGCTTTCACAAATAGTTTAGGATTGTCAGTGTATAATTTTTGAAAGTTGGGGTTGAATGAAAGTTGAGGAGCATTTGTATAAATTTAAGGAAAAAGGCATAGCTATGCTTATAAATGAAAAAAACTTAAACTCAGCAACTAAATGGAAATGGTATGTTTTTGGTTCAAATCTGACATTCTTCCTTCTGCACTAGACTGTCTTCCTGCCCCTCCTTCTTCTGCTTCCAGGTGCTTTACCCTCCTCCCCATCTGTGGCTACCCATAAAAGAAGAGAGACTAGGAAACCAGTATTTCAGTGGGTACCTTTCCCAGAACCACATAGAAATCGGCCAGCCTTGACTGTCAGAGCTCTGCGGGGCAGCTCTAGGGCTCATCTTGTTCTCCTTCACTACAAGGTGGGGAGACTGTGGCTCCCAGAGAGATCATGCGGGGAGCTGAGGCTGGGGTCAGGACCGAACTCAAGGTGCAGGCCTCCTAGCTACCAGCGTGTCAGAGCGTGACACCTGGACCTCTGTGTGGTGCCAGGTGATTTTAGGTGGAATGCAGAAGACAATTTTATGTCAGTACTTATACTTGATTCCACTGTGTGTTAGAAGTATAGCTAGCACTTTATTCCTTAGGATGAAGGTAAGTTTTTTTAAAAAGAGTCCATTTAAAGGTAACTGTTAAGTTATAGCACAGGTGATACGTGCACATGGCAAAATTTTTGGAGGCAGGACGGATGCTGGGATTTGGGGATATGTTTCTAGTCCATTTCCTGTGTCCATTGATGGTTCCTGCTCTGACTGTGCTTTCCCCTTGTCTCTCCAGTGCTGTTCTGATTCTCCGTACCCCGGTTCTCAGGCTGCCTCCTGCTTGCTTGCTTCAGGTCTTGAGTACCAAGTAGTCACATTTCCCCCGCCATGTATTGGTGTGACTGCTTCACTGAAGGAATTGCCTAGAGACTGACCACTGCTCCCTACCACTAGGTCTACCCCAACCCAGTGTGTCTAGTATTCATTCCTGAGGCTTCATGATGAGGTAGTTAGTGAAATTTTTCTCTCCACATCCTGGAGGGTTACGGGAGGGGTTAGAAATTCCCACCTAAGCATGTCCTCCAGGTGTCAACAGTTGAAGCTCTCAAAATACAAGATAGGAAGGTCTACAATAGACTGAACGTTTTGAGGACATTTACAGTAGATCCAGTGCCAGGTGGGACTGATATGTGGCCTTGCTGTCTCAAGTCCATACCTCTAGCTCCCGATATTGCCTTTCCCTCACCGCAGCCTCTCTCTCTGCTACTGCTGTCTGGGAGCCTTGGGCAGCAGGCCCCAAACACAATTGCATGTGGAATGGCTGAAACCAATTATATTGCAAGTGTGGTCCTCTCTTGGGAGTTGGTTCTTTGGCCTTTGTGCAGTCACTTCTTGGGGGTGGCTCTCCCCCAAGGTGAGTTTCTGCCATTGTGTAGAGCATTCCAAAACAAGTCTCTTGGGTTAGAAGGGACTCTTTAGGTCACGTAGTTTGACCATCACTCAGTCCTCAAGTCTTGACACCATCCCACCCAGAGGCTGTGCAGCCTTGACTTGGCCTTATCTAGGAAAATCTCTTCCTTGTGTATTTCATCTCTTTTTCTCATTAACTTTGAGATAAAAATCAATACAAAACAAAACATACTTGTCCTTTCCCTCCCAGGTCATGGAGACTGTATTGTGCTTAGAGAATTTATCATTAGTTGGTGCTGGAGTAAGAGCGGACTATGACTCTGAAGTAAGGGTTCCAATGTTACTGCAGGTTATCCACTCCTGAGGGGAGCCTCAAGAGGCCTAAGACGCTTTGAAACCAGACACACTTTTGTGTATATGTGAAGTTTTTTGGGAATAGGATTTACAGAGGTCGTAAGAATGTCTCAAAAATCCACGATCCAAAAAAGAATCTCTAAAGGGAGAACAGATCCTGAAGGGAAACAGCAGGAAGATAAAGAGAAAGCAGGTGTGAGATATGTCCAGCTGGCTTATTGTGAGCAAGACTGTCCCAGGCCTTTTGGACCCCTCATCTGAGGTCCTCTCCGGGGATTCTCCTTCATTTTAGTGTCCTTTAGGGCTTTCAATTTCTGGAAGCTGGACTGTTTTCCTACAGGTTCCCCCTTCTCGTGTCTACATACACATACACACAACCTATTAGAAACAAGGAGGAGTAAATATGTATGAAGCAATCTTTATGGCTTCCTTTGTGGCCCCAGGAGTTACTCTTCCATTGTGACATACTCCATGGAATCTGAAAAGTTTTCCGTTGTTATGGAATTTGGCATAATGAGTATATTTTCATTTTTCAGAATGATGTGATTGATGAGGCAGAGAAATAGTTCCTCACCTCTGTGATGAAATTAGCAAATTAAAAAAAATTCTTGGAAGTATTAGGGCAAAGATTCCTAATTCTCTTGCATTCTGTTTTATTTCCCAAGACATTTTTGTCTCATCAGATGGCATTGACCTGTTTTTAAGGTTGATATGAATTCTACTGAATTTTCTTTGGAGGCTTTGAAAAAGAGAATTTAGGGACCACATAATTCAATATTGGGACTCTTTTGTCATGTAGGAAAGGCAGGGTTTGAAATGTGGAGGTGACAGGTGTTCCGAGGCGGCCTACTAAAGGGAAGAGAGCACTGCTTTAGCAGACAAGATGGCTAGGTGCTAGCCACAATACTGTCCCTAATTTGCCAGGTAACTTCAATCAAGTTGGCCTTTCTGAGTCTCATCTGTAAAGTGGGCATAGTGATCCCTACTTTCCCTATTTCATAGCCTTATAGCCTTGTTGAGAGGCTCAGGGGAGAATAGATGTGAGGAGTGCTTTGTCGGCAAGCAGATGCCGTCTCTGCTCTTGTGTCTTTTTTAATGATGCTGAAGGTATTGGTGTTTGGTTAAGATGTTTAAGCTGGGAAGTTATGGGGTCATTACTGCTTGGTGGCAGGTTAAAATTTTTCCCCAATGCAAGGAATGTAGTTGTGCTAGAGAATGAGCAGTGTGGAAAGAAGATTCAGAGAAAGTATTCATCATACTCGTGTATTTTTTTAATCAGATCAGTAAGCCTAGTTGTATGGACCATCTCTGGAACATGGAAATATGTTTTTAACGTGTACTTACAGCGATGAGATTTTACTTGTTTTCCTGCAACCTAAAGGAAGAAAGGCTGGGCTTTAAAAAAAAAAATAAGTAGGGTAGAAATGACTTTAACTTTTTTGTAGAACACATCCATCTCTGTTTCTCCTTAGCTCCCAAGCCTTAATTGTAGCTGTCTCTGAACCGTGTTTTTTTATGCCATGTATATTGTGATTGCACTCCATACCAGTTGTGTCCTTAAAGAAAGTTCAGTGTCCCTGATTGTATTTGCCATTCCTCACTGATGAACCACTGAAGCCCTTAACTCTGAGGCTACAATAAAACCTTATATGTTAGCTATTCTGCAGAGTCTTTTAATATCTGAATTACCTAAAATAGCCTTCTTCTTATTCTTTCTGCTTCCATCTAATACACAATTCTCAAACTTTTCAGTCTCAGGACTCCTTGATGCTCTGAAAAATTATTGAGTACTGCAAAGAAATTTTGAGTAAGAGCTTCTGTTTATGTAGGTTATATCTATTGATATTTATCTTATTAAAATTTATAATGGAAAAAATGAAAGTATTAACTCATTTAAAAGTAACAAACTCATCACATATAAATAAAATATTTTAATGAAAAAACTTATTTTCAAACAAAAATATAGCAAGAGGAGTGGTATTGTTTTATATTTTTGCAAAGCTCTTAAATGTCTGGTGTAATAGAAGACAGTGGATTCTCATATCTACTTCTGTGTTAAATCTGTTGCAGTTTGTTTTGGTTGAAGAATATGAAGAAAATCCAACCTCTCACAGATGTGTAGTTGGGAAAGAGGAGGAGTATATTAATAATCTTTTCAGATAATTGTGGATATTCTTTGATACTATGTCACAACTCCGCTAAAGGTTAGTTGCAATGTGGAATCTTAGACTCTATCAGTGAACTTTTTGTACTCTATTATATTAACATTCGTTGGTTTATTTTACACCTTGAAGGGATCTTTTATTACTGATGCATGATTGTGTAGCATCATGCATTGGTCATTTGGAAAAAACTGCAGATCTTTTAAATGTTGACACATTTCATTATACAATATCAAAATATCATATTTGTTAATATCACTACCAGTCTCCATCAGAAAAATCTTGGGAAGCTATTAAGCTCACTGTGGCGGATACAAGCTTTCAAAAATTCTAAGTTTTCCTTGAGAGCTTGAATTTGACAAATGCTGTCAGGCTCACTTTGTTTATTTTTGGGAAAATATCTGTCTGACACCCAAGGCTAAAGAACTACAGTTTATCTGTTAGCTGTTCTTTCAAGTAAAAATGGTATTCCAGGAAGAAAGTTGTTAATTCAGCTCAAAATTCAGAGAAACTGCACATGTGCTTTTCCTCAAGGAAAACATTGTACTTAGGTAAGGAACAGAAGTGCTTTATGCATACATCCATTTAGTCACATGGAATAGTATTATTGAGAAGATGTGTACTTAATAAAAAAAGAATTTTAGTGCTTCATCAAGGACTTCTTTAAGTGAAACAGGTATCCTCCTTCCCTGTGAATGGGTGGCAGTGAAGAATACCTTGAATGCTGGTACAATTTAGTGCCGTTTGCACTAAGGCAGCAGCAATTTTACTCAATTATTACTTTTGTATCAGTGCAAATGTCATCACAGTGACAAAGGCAGATAATGTCTTATTATTATGAAATAGTGTTGATCTCAGGGACCTCCTGAAAGGGTCTCATGGGTCCCCAGAGCTCCACAGGCCACACTTGGAGAACCACTGATCTAATACATGCTCACAGCACTGAGAATCTTTTCCGCCGGCATTGCTATTCTGAGAGCACCCCTTCCTTCAGAAGTCTTAAGTGGCTCCAAAATCCTTCACTCAACAAAAGCACCTATTATGTGTCAGGTACTTTCTTAGGGAATTAACATTTAATAAGATACAATCTTTATTCTCCAGTAATTTTCTTGGGGGATTGGGGAGTAAGGGGAGAAAATAGATAAGAAATTACAGTGTAAGATAAGAATTCCTTAGAATTATGTTAAAGGTGATGGACAACAAAGGAAATGCTAGATCTACAAAGGAAATTTTAGATCTAACTCTGAGCTCTTGAACCACATGGCGTCTCCTCACCAAATCAGTTAGTGAGTCAGTCAATCACCGGGTCCTCTCCTTCCATAAAACCTTTTAAAAATGTCCAAGTTAATTACCTTTGGAAGTGTTTTCGCACTTAATTGCGCTTGGCTCCAGGCTTGTAGTTTCATGTTTACACATGCACGTGCTGTTTCCCCTTTATTTATTTTTGTTGGTGTTTTTTGGCTTTTGTGCTTCTCTGCTTAATATTTACAAGTTTGTAGCCTTGAGCCAGTGTAACCGATAACGCATACGTTTCTTCCTTTTCCTTGTCCTCGTATTTAAATGTAAGCCTTTATCTGCTTTAGCCATGTGTTGGGTGAAGTAACAGCGTTGGTCTTATTTGGGGTAACGTCACCCCCCGCAAGTTATGTCAGGACAATGCACCCAGGAGGCTGTTGCGGAAGGAAGCTTTTTCCGAGGCAGAGAAGACTTGTAGAAATAGCCGCTGTTCTGTTTCCCTGTGGCCTCCATCACCAGACTCTGCTGAACTGCTTCAGTTTACAGCTGCGAACTTCTTCCTTGGGGGGAGATTTCCGTGAAACAGCTGAGACCCGCCGGGGTCCTCTGTGGCAAAAGTTAGACACGTGCTCGCCCGTCTGGGAGCCAATAGTAACTTTTGTAAACGTTGCCGCAGGAAACCCCACGGTTCAGAGGCTGCTTCTTTCGGAACGACATGGTTGAAAATAACTTAGTGTTTTAACAGAACAAAACAAAAACGTAGACGGGATAGTGAGAAAGGCTGTCTGTCCCCTTTGGCAGTGGGGTGAGATGTTAAAGGCGCTCCAGAAAGAGTGCGGGTAACCAAAGTAAAATTCCTTTCCTATTCCGCGGGCTGAATGGCTGGGGACAAGGGGGCGGAGATGGGCCCGGGAGAGTGTCTGGCCCTTTAAGGAGGAGGGACAGACATAAGACTCTGTACCTTTAAGAGTCTCTTTGTCTGGAAACCTCCTTATTTACCCTCCTGTGCTTCAACCAAACTTCGACCCGCGATTCGCAACGCCCCTCTACGCCGCCGCCCCTTACGCCTGGCTCAAAGCGGCCGCGAGTCTGTGGCTGACCCTAAACTTTGCGCCCGCGGCGCGAACCCTCGGAGACGCTGTCTGTGTCGGGGTCCGGGCCCCGCGCTGCGCCGTTGGCGCAATGCGGGGCCCGGGGGGCGGGGCTTCGGCGGGCGGGCCAATGGGCGGTCAGGGGGCGGGGCCGGGTTCGGTTGTCTCGCGCCCTGGTGACAGCTCGCGCGTGCTGATGATGGCGGTAAATAGAGGGGGGGGTCGGGGGAGGGGGCGGAGGAGGTGGGGAGGCGACTAGGCGGGTAGCTCCAGGGGGGGGGGGGCCGGGGACCGGGGAGGACGCGACGGCCAGGGAGCCCATTCTAAGACTCGGAGGCGGGGACAGGAGTCTCCGGCACACTGGCCCTCCCCTTTAAAGAAGCCAAATCCTCACACACCGGGTGAGGGGCGACAAAGGCGGCGCGCGCCTCGCGGGCGGGAGGAGCGGCGGCAGGGGGCGGGACCGCGGCGCCGGCGGGCTGGGGGCGCCCGGGGCGGGGGCCGGCAGTCAGGGCGCGCCGGCGCCTGGTTTTGGCGGGGTGGGCGACCACTGGGCTTGGGGTAAAAGCTTTGAGGGAGAAGGAAAGGCAGGCTTGGCGGCGGCTGAGGGGAACGGGTCTGCGAATGAGACGAGGATTAAGGGGAAAAAGGGTTAGAAGGCAGGGAGAGGAGGAGTGAGAAAAAGCCAGCCGAGGAGGTAGGAAGGAGGCAAAACCCAGGGTGGGTGTTGAGGAAGCCGGGCAGGGGATGTGGTTAGGAAGAGCAAGGCTAGGAAGAGGGGTCCTGGGGTTAGGTGTAAGAGCAGAGGTTTGGAGGGGAAAGCTTTGTAGGGGGTGGTAGTGGGGTGAGAGGTGCTGGGGTGAGAGTTGGAAGTGGAAGGCAAGGAGAGGCAGAGCTGGGGTGATAGTTGGAAGTAGAGGAGAGAGAGTGATTAAGAGCCAGACGTGACAAGGGTGTGAACTAGTGCAGAGCGAGATGAGCTGAAGGACTGGGACTGGCGGTGGGGTGGGAACTGCGAGCTTCTGAGAAAGGTATGGGTTAGTGGGTGGGCAGTGGGTGTAAATTCTGGAAAGTGAAGGAGGGTGAATGAGACACTGGACTGGCACCAGGTGGAGTCGGGAATAAGAGCGTAGTGGAGGGGTGAAAAGAAATAGAGATGAGAGCCGGGGCATTTACAGGACAATTCAGGACCAAAAAGCTGAAAGGAGAAGAGAGTAAGGGTGTAGGAAGTGATGGCCGTCTGGGACAGGGTAATTGGGAATTGTGCTGATTGACGAGGTTCAGCAAGATCCGAGGTAAAAACAGTGAGGCGAAGAGACAGGGCTTAAAGCAGATGGTGAGAGCAGCACGGAAGAGATGGGCCCCAGGATTTAAAGGATGAGATGGGGAGTAAGGGAAGAGAACAGTGAGGGAAGCTGGGAGGGTCCTGATAGATGTAGAACTGGGGTAGACTGCACAGAGCTGGGCATCACATGTGCGTGTTGTGGGGAGATGCTCCAGAAGGTCTGCATGGGTCAGGGCACAGACGCTGTAGTGAAGGATCAAGTGTAGGGAGCCTTTGGTGCAGAAGAGGAGGAACCATGGTGAGTGGAAAGAGACCTAGAGCGAGGGGTAAAAACTAAAAAGTAAGGGGAGGGGAGGTGCAGGAAAGGAATTCTTTGTTGGGAAAAGAACTATAAGTGGCTTGAAACTGTGAGTCCTTTTGTCCATAAAAGTAGGAATTCCAGAAACCTCTTTCTCTCTTCAAGGAATCTTGAATCTGCTTCCACCTTTCATTGCTTTTAATTCAACTTTCATGTCCACTTTGAAAAGATGAGACCCATTTTGATTTGATTTTGTTCTTGTGTGAATGATAAAGCGCCAACTCAGTGCTGAAAACCTGCATTCCACCAGTGTTGTGATGATGGATTGTATTTATTTGCAGTGTGGCTGTGCCTGTGTAGTGTGATAGTGTTGCGTTGTAGCAGTATTGGACCTGACAAGTGCTAGGCAGAGTGCTTTATCGACAGCAGCTTCATTTTCAATGGAGAGCCACTGTTGAGAAAGAGAAAGATGAAAATCTTTTTGTTTTGCTTAATGAACCAGACTTCTGCCTGATTGTTTTTTAGTGGCTGGAGAATAGTGAGAATCATTTTAGAGAAAGGCAAATAACCAACCAGGGAAGTTTGCTG